GTTTCGAAATAAGTTTTCAGTAGGATATTGTAAGATTGACTGACAACAACAAAAACACATCTGAAAGTGATAATGTCTGTTGCACTAGATAACATTTTCCGGGACGAATACCGTCCGTATATACAATCTGCTACGATGCTAATTATGTGTGGGCCATTCGGGTCCTATTGCCTTATGAGAAACATGGAGGCCAGCTCCATTCGCCTTGTTAAACAATCATGCAAAATAATCTTTTAGGTAATCACCAGCAATGAAATGGGAAACTAAAAAAGAACGAAATCATTCATGATAAACACTGAGACGAATACTAACGAGAGAGGTCAAAGGTGAACGAATGAATTCAATCCGTGATATCAAAAAGATTGCACATGGTAGAAAAGAGGGGAGGATAGATGGAAGCCTCACATGGAATGGCATAAGAAAGTCGAGGATGATGATGACATCTATTCATGTAGTAGAGTAGGTTTCTTATCTAGTTGTGAACCTGCTTTTTTTTCCGGGTCCACCTATATTTTACTTATGCTGCCCAGTTTTTCGTTATCTGTGAATGAAGCTCAACTCACCAGGTCGAACAACAAATTATAAACATCAGATGACGCAAGGTGCTACCATTTGGATGAGAATAATTCTAGCACAACTCCGAGAAACCTGGTTCAACCCTTAGTTTACATTAGGACCGCTGACATCAGCAGGTGTGGGGGTTTAAATTAACACAAAATTTCGTCCTATATTGGGGCGAGGACAGTGATGATTTCGCTATCTGATCTCGAGGTCACAAGTAGTGTGTCTCTAACTTCCGGTAAAGGGACATCACTGCATGTGTAGCTATCAACAAAGAGACAGCGAGAATCGTCTGGCCGATTTCTTAGACCGGCTGATCCTTTTTCATGAGACCCGGATTTGAATTCTCAGCTCCCCATGTGGGTTTCGGAGTCCTATTTGGAGGCGGAGGGGGAGAATAGCACCTTCCCCCTTTTCCTCCAATAAGCATGTCTATCTGGCGACTAATAGAGGTGTTTCCTTCGAAGTAGGAGTGCGTATGCATGAGAGCCAAGGGACCAACAGTGTGCATCCAAGAAAGCCAATCTGTTCAACGAATGTGCTAGCACAACTCAAGTTCTGGAACACTTAGAAATTTCCGCCAGAGTTTACAACCTATAAGTGCTAAGAAGAAAAAGAAGAAGAAGAAGAAGAAGAAGAAGAAGAAGAAGAAGAAGAAGAAGAAGAAGAAGAAGAAGAAGAAGAAGAAGAAGAAGAAGAAGAAGAAGAAGAAGAAGAAGAAGAAGAAGAAGAAGAAAGAAAGAATCCACGATGAGGTAGGTACTGGTGTAGAAAAGAAGAAGAAGAAGAAGGAAAAGAAGAAGAAGAAGAAAGAAGAGATTAGGAGAAAGAAAAAAAGAAGGAAAGAAAGAAAAGGCAGAAGAACGAAGGTAGAAAAAAATAAAACAAGAGGGAAAATAAAACGCCGAAGAACACACACCCGTATTTCTCCTTCTTAACATTTACCGGCTGCAAACTCCGGCGGAGAATTCTGGTTGTTTGTCCACTTCTGGACTCTAGTCCTGTTTCCAGAAACTGAGTGTTGCGCGCACATCTGTTTCACATGTTGGACTCATCTGACTTCTGGTCCCTTGTCTTTCAGGCGTATGTACTCCGACTTCGAAGGACTATCCCAGCTAGTCGACTCTTACGACAGGCTTTTGCGTAGGCAGTGGGTCAGTTCTTATTTCCACTCCTGTCCCCGCCCCACCCCCGCCCCCACCCTACCCCACCCCACACATAATCGGGCCACGGAATCCACACGAGTGAAATCTATGATACTGAAGACTGATAGTAGCCATGAAAAACAAATACATTTGCTGCCATCATTCTAAATAATTGATTCACAACTAGGTATTCCGTCTGGTCACAAACACCCACAATCGCACTCCATGCAGCCGAGAAACAGGAGACGACTAGCGTCTGGGTCTTGTTTACGACAGTAGCATATTTCACTCATCTGACCTCTTGCAAAAACACTGCTTGGCATAAATGCGTCTTAATTTATGTCGTGCAAGAAAGTTTTGTGTAAATAATATTTCCTGTATTCGGTTTGGAGGTAGTATCATCTATCCTCTGCTATCTGCACAAGACAATTAACTAATTTTGATCCGATCCACTGATTATCACCCATTCTTTGTTTTCTAAAGTTACATCACATTTACACACACACAATCACACACATGTATAAGCTCATCCGAGAGAATGGAAAAGATACTGAACTTTGCTGGATACAGATTCCTGTTGGTAGAATAACTCCCGGTTGGAAAAAGCGAAAATTTTCCACTTGTGATCAATCAATCAATTCGTCCTCATCGCCCCCAGAGGCACATAAGGCAGAGACAAACTGTCCAAAGTCAATTCCATCCTGAGCCAATCTCTTTATGATTATAGTACTCCTATTTCTTGGCCTAACACTAAATGGTTACCAGGTAAAGTCATGGGAAGTAAAGGCGATCAACAGGATGCTGACCACATCATCCACTGACTGGTCTATAAAGTTGAGGTCTAGCCCTATATTCCCAATAAGCCTGAAGGCGTGGAATATGCTCCTTTACATTTTGTTCTTACATGTTAGGACAGCACCTTGTTGAGCATAGTTGCCAAAAGAAAATAGATACATCCCATAACCCAAATTCAATTTTGTATTGCGGTCTTCTTTTGGTTCTTTCTTTTCTCTACGCCAGGAATGGCTCGCGGCGTAAGGGGAGGAAGAGATTTCTAGAACGAGCCTTTCTGTTCGCTTCGTATTTAGTAGTTTTCAGTGTCTCTGATATTTCTGCGGTCCATGTTCTGCGTGGTCAACCTCTGGGTCTGTTACCAATGTATCTGTATAACATTTCTCTCTGTGGTACTCTGTCTGCTGCTAATCGTATGAATCACAATTATTTTGTCGTATACTTTAAAATAAGTGTTTGTGCGTGATTTAGTGCTTTTTGCAAATATGTGGGTGTTTATGTATGTATGTTCAAATACATAAAGCAGATGTATGAATAAAAAACATTTTTGGGGGGGGGGGAAAGGTTGTGATGCTATAGGCTGCAGAAAGGATGAGAGCAGAATATGAGGAAAAGCACTATGCATGCATATGACATTCCTGCAATCCCATGCTAACTCTGTCAGGTGTCTTGCTTGTAACACTCCCCATCTCTTTGGGCTGTGTCCAATGTCTCCTTATAGCACAATATAACACTAGGGTTTGAAAAGATGAAAAGGTGCTAACTAATTTTATATAACAATTCTCTGACTGTCCCCATTTACTTTTATTCTTCTAATAATTCAGTACCAGTCGTTGACATTTACATCCTCTAATAAACGTTAAATTGTGACAACAGAGATTGAATGCCTTAGAAGAGCAGCAGGAGTTTCAAGGAAAGACAGAATACGAAATCAAATTAATGCTGGAAATAAAGCCAGTCACACTGATCATCAAAGAACAACAAAAAAAGTGATTAGGACACCTTACAAGAATGCCCTGGCACTATCTACCACAGCGAGCCACAGTGAAATGTTACAGCGGGAATAAAGGGAGCAGAAGACCTAAAGGGAGCAGAAGTGAAAATACGGAAGGATGGCATTAAAAACAGCCTCAAAAAAATGAAAAGTGCTCTTGACAAACCTCATCAACGAACGCTACACCCCACCCGCCCACCCCAGCCCCGACACTTTACTGAGATACTAGTAACAAGAGAAAAAGAAGAAGAAAAAGACAAAGAAAAATAAGAAGAAAAAGAAGAAGAAGAAGAAGAAGAAGAAGAAGAAGAAGAAAAGAAGAAGAACAACAAGAAGAAGAACAAGAAGAACAAGAAGAACAAGAAGAACAAGAAGAGCAAGAAGAACAAGAATTTATTGCCCATACTTTGTCTTTATTTTTCTTCGGTAAATACTTTAATGTTTCAATCCAATTTGTGCGTCTTTTTTATTTGAAAGCATATTTATCTTTCTAAAATGTTTTTTTTAAAGAGTAAATTGAAGCATTTTTTCGCATTTTTTCTTTTTTGGTGGAATTTATTTTTAACCTTCATTTGTTTAAGATGTTAGTCACAAGAATATTGATCCCAGTTCTTGTAATACTGTCAATGATACAATGATTGTTTTTTTAAATCCACTTTGAAATCGGAGACACTAACGAGGTCAGAATTGGTTGCACATTTATCTAGCTGAAATTTTCGGGGTAATAAAGGCGGTTGATATAATGCTGCTGACCACATCATTCATTGGGCTAAGTGGTCTGTATACATATGGATATAAAAACAGTTGCTTGGAGCAGGACATTCTTTCAAACACGACCTTGGCTCCCAGGTGGACCCAGCTTAAAAACGGTACCACATACAGTCCGTGTAAGTAAAAGAGGCCGGAGTGATGTTGACCACATCACACACAGAGTGCAGACTGATCTATAAACAAAATATTCTGCCTGGATTGTCCAATACGCCTGAAGGCGTCTTCTCTAAACTTCTTCTTCGCGTTCACCAGCTGTACACTCTGGCGGAAAGTTCTGGTTGTTCGTCCACTTCTAAACTGCAGTTCTGCTCCAGAACCTGAGTATTGCGTGTGCATCAGTTTTACAGATCTGATTCACGTGAGTGCAGACTGTTGGTTCCTTGCCTTCTCAGGCAGACGCACTCCGACTTTAAAGGAATCCTGAAGCCGTGAAAATGGGTCCTTTACTTTCATTTACCAACCATATGGATGAAAATGGTCCCTTTTTGATTTTACTTTTTATGTTTAGCAGAAGGAGATTATACTTCTTCCAAATTGTTTTTTCAAAATCTTTAAACTTCTTTTAAAAGAAATTAGACATTTTAGTAATACCCATATTTTTTTCATTTTATGTAACACTTGTGCTTCATCAATGATGCTAACCTCACCTTAATACTTGTATTCGCATGCGTCCTTGTAGTTTGTCTTTTGTAATTGTTGTTATAATAATTTTATGTTGTTTTTTTTCTAATCTACAGGCAAGCTTATCCCTGCTCTGGAGCATACGACAATGCATGCATCAACACTCACTATCGTTGTTATCACTTTTGAGAGATATCACGCCATCTGCAGGCCGCTGGATGTGTTCCTACGTTGTAACAGACCGCGCGTCCTTTGTCTACGCTACTATGTGTCTGGGCAGTTGCAATAACTACGTCACTTCCATTTGTAGCAATGACTAATTTGGAAAAAGCAAAATTCTATGATGGCACGCCTTGCGAATTTTGTAAAACTAAAGTAGATCATGTTTGGCACTACTGTTTTCTTCTCGCTGCTACAACAATTTTCTTTATATTTCCTCTCCTGCTCCTGACCATACTGTACGCTAACATCATCGGCAAGTTGTACCAAAGCGATTTAGCAAATGGTAGAATCAGATGTGGGGTAAAAGAATCCACAGGATACAGTCTCAGATCTCGCAGACAGGTCATCCGCATGCTGATCACCCTGGTGATCCTCTTCTTCCTCTCCCTGGCCCCTTTGAGAGTAGTCGTCGTGTGGCAAATCTTCAGTCCTCCAGACAGCATCCATCGTTTTGGGATCGAAAACTACTACAACGTCCTATGGCTGTGCCGACTACTGATATATATGAACTCAGCGGGAAACCCTTTAATATATTCACTGCTCTCCAGCAAATTCAAGATCGCTTTCTCATTCCTGCTGCGATGCCAGACTCGCATGTTGGACCGCCGAAGCAGACAAAGACCGCATTTACATAACCTGAGACAGCTGTACAGACGTTCGACAGAGATTGATGCATTCACTAAACAGCAGCTGAACATAAACCTTTCCAGTTTTTCCAAACGCAAATCATCGGTTTTTCACCAATGTTCCTACCCCGAGATTTGTAATTTCCAAGCTGAGCACTCTTGTCGTGCGAATTCAAATTGCAACGAAGAACGCCTGGCAGACGACAAGCAGAAAAGCAGTGCTCTAAAAATTCAGAACAGATGACAGTTAAAAAGAACGACCGCTGCCCAAATGGGTTTGAAACGAGTGGGTTTTATTGTTGAAATTATTGTTCTGGATTCTGTTACTGGATAATGTCGCAAACATCAGTCAGCAGGATACACGTACTAAAAACATACTGGAAAGACTGTTTTATAAACAGTTTACCAAAGTTAACCTAAACACCAAGTAAAAAAAAAAAAAAGGCCAAAAAAAAAAGTGTTTTTTTAAGTGATTACACTATTCTTAATAAGTATCGTGAACCTTTGACGATTTAGTCGCAATATGTTATGTTCTATTTCATGCGGTTTATGCGTATTTAAGCAATGAGATTTTTATTAAATGACATATTGATTAACTAAAATGATACATTAGCAAAGAAGGTGGTCACTATCTTTGACAGGGAAAGTGGTATGTTTGCAGGCGAAGTGATATATTTGTGTCAGAAAAAGTGTTTTTTCAGCAAAATAAATGTTCGTTTGTTCCTGAAAGTAGAAAATATAGACCAACAGAGAAGACAGTCACTCCTGAGACAGAAATAAGCCAAGGGATATATTAATAACGAGGCTCTCCTTTGAATAACGGTCCCAAATGATCTACGCAGAAAGTGAACCTAAACAGAGCCTCATTCATATCTAAAATTCGCATTTTTTTTGCGGCGAATCAACCGTGTCAAAAGTAGGATTAATTGCGCACGAAATTTTCGCGAAACGCAACAGATTTTTTAACGGCGATTACAAGGCGGCAAAACTAGGATTAACTACGGACGAAAAAAATTTGCGACACGCAAGAATACTCCCGATAGCGCTATCCTACGGCAGGGCCCGAGTTATATGTAAGTTGCGGACTGCTTTTCGCCGACTATAGTGCCATCTCCGAGTGTATCGCGGAAGGGGCTAAACTAGATAACTAGGACTCACGAGCAGCAGCTACCGCAGCTCCTGCAGCTTCCTCCAATGTATTTGCTCGTGAGTCCCAGCCATCTAGTTTAGCCCCTTCCGCGTCGCGCGTAGCGGCGCGGGGGAAAACACTCGGAGGTGGCACTATAGTCGTCTGGGAAAAAAGTCTACAATTTACATGAGCTACTTCTTTTGTCGGAAGTACCAGCATTCGCCACGGTCAAGTGGTGGTCGGGATAGTGGTGCGCCATCGTGGCGGCTGCTGGTTTTACATTTACATCATGTCTCGCCCGGGACGAGAATCGCGGACAAGGCGTGCTAAGTTACAATGGCGGACAACGAGACAGAACAGATATTCGCGCACTATTTGCAACTTCTGTGCTACAATTTTCACATATAAAGGATTTAATTTTCGGTAAATAGTAGACTTTGCCCTTTTCCTTACGCTTTTCGTTCCTAATTTTTTTCTGAGTTACAGCTTTTAAATGCTTGTAGGGCAGGACGTAATGAGGCTCTGTTAGAGTTAATTTTCTGCGTAGATCATTTGGGACCGTTATTCAAAGGAGAGTTAATAAAGATAACCATCTATACCTTGATAGAGGAAAGTGTTAAAAAAGCAGAGCTTCATAAGTTGTTGAGCTGATGAATTAACATAAAATATGGTATATTCTAGGATAGAATGAATGGTAAATATGAGATATTATATAAAATAATTAAGATGCATCATACCATATATATATATATATATATATATATATATATATATATATATATATATATATATATATATATATATTACTAGTAACGAACTCGGGCCCATCTACATACTAGCTGACCTTTTACTGATGCTTCGTCAAGCTCGCCGACGTTGCTCAATGTTAGAGGGGTGTGACGAATTATCCCGTGGGACCTAGGCCCAGTGTGTGTGGTTGGGAGGTTGGGGTTAGGACCAGTTTTACCTGTTAGTTGGTGGTTAAAAACGCCAACATCCTGTAATATAGAGCATACGTAGTCGCTGGTACGATAAGAGTCGGCGCAATACAACATTACAGCAAGCTGACACATAATTCAACTTGTGCGTCTCAAAGGTGAAGACGCTTGAATGAACGTCCAGTCACAGTGTCATGGCCCGACTTCGTCACTCACAAGTGTGTAGCTGGGCGGAGCTGGGCCTGAGTTCGTTACACGTTCCATAAATATATATGTGTAGGAATATTATCATTTATGGAAAAAAATATGATGGTTCTCTCTGCAGCTTATCCTATAGGTTAGTTTACTTTGCTATCTAACCACTCCATATCTCACCCTCTAACTGGTATTTCTCCTAATAAGAACTCCACAGGGGAGCATGCACAGCAGGGGTCCACCGATCATCAGTAGGAAGATCCCTTGTCGACGATTGTTTCGGCACATTATCTTTCTAGACAGCCTAGAAAGGTGGGCCTACCTTATTCATAACTTCAGGCCTCAGACATCCCCTGCTGTACTTTATCGGGCTTACAGACAAGACGAAATGGTGACTTTGCAACAGTTGTAATGTTGTTTGGTGTTAAATAAATTGTAGCGGAGGTAGCAAATTATACGACTACCTTCACGACCAGAGTAACAAACCTACGGTTCGTTCATCGAATAGATGCTTCACTTTGACAAATGGCATATTTGTTTTCGGACACTTTGGCTTTAAAGGGATGAAAAGCTCTTTTACACTAGGGGCTAAGATCAGTCTACCAATGGACCCATGACGTTCCATTGCGCCCTGAGCTAGTTCGAAGCCCTTTCTGCTATTTCGCACAGCTGTTTTAGGTCAGTTTCCGTTCATTTCCTCGCAAGCCCTGGTGCTTTAGTACATTGTATGTTGAAGTGGAGATAGGTCCTCTTGCGCCTACCTCGACCACAAAGATTTTTACTGTGTAAGCCTTATCTCTCCTCAGGCCAGCCACCAGATCACAGTACTTTTCAAATTTGTACAGGGATTTTCTTCTATCCGCGACTTGGATGGAACGCTAAGCTTTATCAGAATGAGCTGGCGTTTGTCCGCAGAGTGCAGAACTATGGTCTCAAGCCGGTCTCGCAGACTGATTTTGGGTACTTCTCGAAACCAAGCAGGTCGACCGCCAATAACAAGTCTCTCGCATAGTCAAGTATTTATGGTTAGAGGTCTGCATTGTCTTGAGGAAGTGCATGGGAGGGACGGTAGGACCGGCCCTCACCTTGGCCCCTATCGTGGCTTGATCCACAATGTCCGCTAACTCTTTCAGGACTTTATTGTGGCGCCATGTGTTTTGTCCCTAGCCTAGGGCGTTTGTGCACGCAGACAACACGTGCTCGCGAGTCGTGATACAGAACAGCTGGGTCAGTGGTTGCACAGCATAAGGTCATGTTGGCGCCTGAGGGTAACACATCATAAGCAGATATTATAACAAAGCTCAATTACAGCGGGGCCATTCGATAGATCTCATCTCATGTGAATATTCGTATCAAGGCGCTATCGAGGCCAGTCCGTGCTCCTTTCTGCGACTGCTGGACTGTTGTTGTTGTTTTTTTTTTTGGGGGGGGGGGGGGGGGGGGCGGGATTTACAATCCCTAATTAAACTGACAATTTACCTTTCATTATTTAGTCACACCGAGTGCACATGTCAGTTCAATAGTAATATGTTAAAACCTTGCTGCTTTCTACCAATCAGTATGTGGATTACTACAACGTTGCACGTTTTATGAACTTACTTGTTTGTAATAAAAATGACATTACTTTAGATAACTAACAGCAAAACTGTTTTGTTAAGTCTACAGTCGATAAAAGGCATTTGATTAGGTTCCATGGAGCAAGATCTGGGACTGCCAGCAGGGAAGATCACTCAGGCACTCCTGATCAGTGTCATGCATAGTTTCTACTAAAGCTGTAAAAACTTGTGTAAGAACAGGAAATCAAAAGTGTAAAGAGTTTAAGACCTCTAGCGCTGTTAGACAGGATAATTTTATATCACCGTAATTTTTCATTCTTCTGTTGGATGATGTCATCAAGACCTATTACGATAAAAACAAAAAAGAAGCACTCAGTAGGATGCTGGAATATGAGACCAGCTTGAATATGAGAAACAGTTTTGTAGATGATGTAACCTTTGATTGCTAAATCAGAAGTACATGTTCAACTTACTCTCCGGAACAAAGAACTCGAGAAGAGAGGGGGGATGATCATCATTATCTACAAAACCAAAACGATAGTTATCTTAAGAAAGGAGAAGAAACATCAGATCACAATGGGGCAATATGTACTGGAGCAGGTCAGTCTGTTCAGATACCTAGGAGTCGTCACAGACCAAACTATACGCATCGAGTCAGAAATTGCTGCTCGAAAAGCAGCAGTTGCGAGACTTGTACAGGTCAAAAACAAAGGCTTTCTCGGCAAAAGAGAAAATAACTTTGTCAAGCCTTCAAGTTCTCTTGGTCTGCCATCCAAACTATTATAAAACATACTTTTTTTTTTAAAGACCAATCTGCACACGATGTCTGATGTGGTCAAAATCACAGCGATCTCCTTCACTTCTCAAGTTTTTTTTTTTTGGTGCTTGTTTTAGCCTAGGTGGATCCGAGAACTACGGTGAGTTATGAAAATCCACCTCCATGCGGATTTAAATCCATGATCTCTCTACGAGGTATTGCTTCTTCTTCTTCTTGTTTTTCTTGTTCTTCTTGTTCTTCTTCTTGTTTTTTCTTCCTCTTCTTCTTCTTCTTCTTCTTCTTCTTCTTCTTCTTCTTCTTCTTCTTCTTCTTCGGAGGAGGATTCTTACGCTTCTTCTTCTCTCTTCTTCTTTTCAGGGACTCCTCGTGGCCGTTCTATTATGTCGGGTCATCCATAAATTGCGCACGCTTCAGTGATTTCTTCTTCTTCTTCTTCTTCTTCTTCTTCTTCTTTACTTCTTCTTCTTCTTCTTCTTCTTCTTCTTCTGTCTCTTCAAGATCTTCTTCGACGGCAAGCTTTTCTTCTTCTTCTTCTTCTTCTGCTTCTTCTTCTTCTTCTTCTTCTCTT